AACTCTGAAGGCTGGAACGCGCAGAGTATCCGAGGAGGTGCTCGTCGTAAAGACTCTATCTAAAACTGCCCGAGGCGCAATATGCGGCGGGACCGTCAAGATCGGAGTCGGGAGGCCACAGCGAGATAGTCGAATACGCTTGTGCGGTTCGTACACTCTCTCTAAAGGATGGCCTGGCCTCCGAAGACGAGCAGATGAATCAGGAACTGCTATTAGGGGCCTGAGGACGAGAGGGCTTGGCCGTCAAACTCAGGTCTAACCGATTGCGTTGTCGTGGGTAAGCCGGTGGGCGAGACCTAGGACCCCAGTCCTTACGAGGGGGTAACCTAGGCGATGGCTCATACTGCTGGACCTCGCAGTGCTGTAAAGAAGAAGAGCGTGAATGAGCCGCAGGCGGCTGACGCTCTACCTCCCTAGCCCTGCGAGGGATGAGCTGACGGAACACAGCGGACTGCTGTTTCACTGCTCTATACTTCTCCACGACCGTAGTGACCGAGTCTCCGAACAGAGCGTCACTCGAAATGGGGGCGTCAAGGAGAAAAGTCCTGTCTTTCTCCTTAATGTCAGTGAGAGTAAGCCAAAGATGGCGCTAAGCTGTCACTAACCCTGCCATGGACCTGTCCACTGCCCGAGCTGTGTGCTTGGTAGCCCTAAGCGCCAAGTCAGTAGCTCGTCTGAGCTCTTTAACGGCCTCTGGAGTCAGGCCTTCTCCCTCGTCCAGCTGTGTAGTGTAGCCGCGGCCTGCCCAGTGGCCATGTAAGATTTCCCGATCAAAGCGGAAGTAACCCTACATGGCTGGAATTTGGCGCGAGATGTGCCACGAGATGTGCCGCGAGAGTCTCTTCTACAGCCGGCATCGCCGCGTAGCCGTTTTAGAGACCGTGTCGAAATCAGCGGCGGCAGAATTTGTGATACGCGCCGAAAAAGGTTGTTTCCAAGACCTCGAAACCTCGTAGTGGAGGTCTTGGAAAAAGGGAAGAGGCCTACGGGGCTGAGACGGAGTGCGGCTGGACAAAAATCGATCGTCCAGTTTCGACTGGGACTGAATTTGCGCCGGCTCGCTATCCCACTCTAACCCCAGCTTATCCACAGCGCACGTTACAACATCTAACAGTTCGCTGTAAGACGGCGAGGTATGTTTCTCCTGTCCACTCGGAAGGAGAGAACTGCACAGTTCGCCCAGTAAATCCTCAGAATCGGAGGCTGCTGTGGACAGCACGTCTTCATCATATGGCATACAACCGAAAGACATCGCATCGCAAGCTTCCGGGGTAGGCCGCAAATTATCATTGACGAAGACCACGGGGTCCCCGTAGTGCTCTTCGAGCGCTTGCACATGGCCTGGAGAGAGCGAGAGAAAAGGAGAAAACTCCGTTGACTCGCCCTCTAAACGCCTCGGCTCGCATGCGTCACCCCAAGCGACCGTCTCGTGCGGAGCCTCGGCAACCGCAGAAACGGGATAGCGGGGGTTAGACGCGAGGCCTACTTTATTTGAGAAGACCGCAAACCTCTAGCGCAGTGCTTTTAGCCGTAGGCTATCACAGTGTCGACAATCAGAAAGGCCGCTAAGCGCCGCTTGGGTGTCTCCTCCTGCGATGAACCTGTCACACCGCTCGATGCATCTCCTGTAGCTCATCGTGTCCGCTGAAGAGGAGTAAACTGCTCTTTTTAGAAGAAATTAGCTAAGAACACGACTTCTTTTTTTTTTTGCTTTCCTACAGGCGACAGATGATTCGCTTCCTGAAGGAAATGAAATCTGATGAAAATAGCGCGCAGCACGCTATATAGCTCACCTACGTGCGCTTTGGGGGGCGGTGCTAAGCGCTATTTGGCCAATGAATTGGCGTGATGGTATAAGGGCTTCAGACATTCGTCACACCAAAGGTGTTCCCAAAGCGATGACATCATCGCAGCATGAAGTGAGCCTATGAGAGGGAACATAAACGACTCCGAGTTTTCTGTTAACCCTGTAAAGCCTGACATTTGAAAACAGTTTTGTTTTTTCACGGAAGCTCAGGAGATGGAATAACAAATCCGTTTTATTTAGAGGTTCAAAATGCAAAAATATGCAGTTTAGTGCAGATGCTGTTACTTATCCTATATGACCAATTATTAAGACAAATTTCTGATATTGACACTTTTATAACAGTATCAGACTTATGCAGTTGTCCTGAATGTCCCAAAAATCATAATATAATATGATAATATTTAAATGTTTAGTTTTCTAATCAAATCACTTTAGTTTTAATTGTGTGGGTCAAAATATATAATGTGATGCAATTTGATGACTGAGATTATATTTGAGTTGGCCCTATTATATTTGACATGGGCTAAATCGTAACGTGATTTTTCTAAATAAATAGGCCTAAACATAAACATAAAGTAAATAAATAGCATAACATAACAGAAAGTTATTATTTTTCTTTACTTACCAAAAAAGTATGAAGTTTTGATCATGTTGATAATTTAGAGGCCTTAGAAATAATGTGTCAAATGGTCAAATATGATACAGCAGACTTTATAGGGTTAATGCTTGTGTTGACACGGCGTCTATTCTACAATATACGGTAGTGGCGGCGGTCTGGTGTTATGTTACGGGGCGTTCTTCCAATATCTGACTTTTAAATTCTGCTTGGAGTCTTGCACACGAATATAGGTTATTAGAGAAGGAAAATGCTTATGCAAAGAGTACACGATTGTGCTGCAATAATACTTTGCATTGCACATGCCTGTCTTTCATTTGAAAACCAGACAGTCAATAATAATGTTACCAAATCTGAATCTAATGATTTAAAGTCAATGTTAAATCTGGTTGGGAATGTTACTGAAAGTTTGGACACAGCAAAACCCGATGAAAACCACACTCAGGCGCAGAGGAATGCCAGTGAAGATGGAGAACAGATGAACAAAGAGACCCATGGAGCAAAACCAGGCGAGTTCATGATCAGTCAAGAGTTGAGGGAAGTAAATTCAGAACAATTTTCCTGAAATGTCCTTTATGTCACGCAGTTATAACATGCCTTAAAAATAACTGTGATCTATTATAAGTGATAGTTCAGTGAAATGTATTTCTGTGGAATATAAAAGAAGATATTTTGAGAAATGTCTCAGGTTTTTATTTATTATTATTATTATTATTATTATTATTATTATTGTGTTTAGTGCAGATGCTGTTACTTATCCTATATGACCAATTATTAAGACAAATTTCTGATATTGACACTTTTATAACAGTATCAGACTTATGCAGTTGTCCTGAATGTCCCAAAAATCATAATATAATATGATAATATTTAAATGTTTAGTTTTCTAATCAAATCACTTTAGTTTTAATTGTGTGGGTCAAAATATATAATGTGATGCAATTTGATGACTGAGATTATATTTGAGTTGGCCCTATTATATTTGACATGGGCTAAATCGTAACGTGATTTTTCTAAATAAATAGGCCTAAACATAAACATAAAGTAAATAAATAGCATAACATAACAGAAAGTTATTATTTTTCTTTACTTACCAAAAAAGTATGAAGTTTTGATCATGTTGATAATTTAGAGGCCTTAGAAATAATGTGTCAAATGGTCAAATATGATACAGCAGACTTTATAGGGTTAATGCTTGTGTTGACACGGCGTCTATTCTACAATATACGGTAGTGGCGGCGGTCTGGTGTTATGTTACGGGGCGTTCTTCCAATATCTGACTTTTAAATTCTGCTTGGAGTCTTGCACACGAATATAGGTTATTAGAGAAGGAAAATGCTTATGCAAAGAGTACACGATTGTGCTGCAATAATACTTTGCATTGCACATGCCTGTCTTTCATTTGAAAACCAGACAGTCAATAATAATGTTACCAAATCTGAATCTAATGATTTAAAGTCAATGTTAAATCTGGTTGGGAATGTTACTGAAAGTTTGGACACAGCAAAACCCGATGAAAACCACACTCAGGCGCAGAGGAATGCCAGTGAAGATGGAGAACAGATGAACAAAGAGACCCATGGAGCAAAACCAGGCGAGTTCATGATCAGTCAAGAGTTGAGGGAAGTAAATTCAGAACAATTTTCCTGAAATGTCCTTTATGTCACGCAGTTATAACATGCCTTAAAAATAACTGTGATCTATTATAAGTGATAGTTCAGTGAAATGTATTTCTGTGGAATATAAAAGAAGATATTTTGAGAAATGTCTCAGGTTTTTATTTATTATTATTATTATTATTATTATTATTATTATTGTACAATGGAAGTTAGTAGTCATCAAAACAGTTTGGTTACCAGCATTCTTCAAAACATCTTCTTTTGTGTTCCACAGAAGAAAGAAAGCCACTCAGAAAGTCACCCATTTTGGGTAAACTGAAGTTAAGTTGTCTAATATTTGACTAGTGTCTATTCATACTAATATTTATTCCAATAGTCAATAGTGTCTATTCAGTATATATTACTATTAGAATTTATTCAGCACATACTTTTTCACTTAATGCTAGTCATTATGTACAATGCATAACTTTTTACTTTTTGTGTTGCAAAAATGTGTATTCTGATCACATTTGTTTGATATATACTATATACTTTAGGGGAAATTAGGTCAAGAATTTGTGGGAATATATGAATGCTTAAGCAACAAATGCTTATTCTGGTGATGCTGATTCACCAGCCTTTGTTTTAAGCAATAACAGTGAATCAATGGGACATTTGTTGGCTCAGCATTCCTGCATTCCCACAAGAAGAAGATGTTTACTTCTTGAAGTAATTTCAAAAGAGCACTATATGAAACCCTTTGGAGAGAGAGACACATTTTTCCCTACAATTTTAAAAATAAAGATTATTTTTAGGCATCAATAGATATATGAAGAACCTTTAACATCCACGGAAACTTTCAAATGCACAAAAGGTTCTTTATAGTGGAAAAAGTTTCTTTAGATTATTAAAATGTTCTTTACATTTAAAAAAAATGGTTCTTTTAAGTAATGTTCGTGGAAAGGTTCTTTGGGGAATCTGCTGTGAAAACCGTCTAGAACCTTTATTTTTAAGAGTGAACTGCCATGTGATTCATAGAGTCAGTGTTATCCTCCTTCTAAACATTCTCAGGCTCCTCTCTGGCTTAATAATAAGTAACTGTTCGTCAGTCTTACATTTTTTTGTCTCAATCTCAATCTATCAGATTGTCCACCGCTGGGTTTGGAGTCTCTGAAAGTCTCAGATGATCAGTTGGAGTCTTCATCGTATTTGAGCGTTGGGCTTGGTCCTCATAGAGGACGCCTTAACATACAGGTCAGCCCACTGTGTGTTCGTTCAAGAAGATTTTGAAGGTCGATTTGATGTTGCATGTTGTGAATTTGCATACGTGTGTTGTTTGTAGTCTGGTCTGGAGGATGACGATGAGTATGACGGAGCGTGGTGTGCTGGGGTGGAGGATCAGGAACAGTGGTTGCAGCTGAACGCTCTCAGACCAACACTCTTTACTGGCGTCATCCTCCAGGGCAGAAACTCTATCTGGAGGTCAGTGTGTGTCTTTGAGCTTCATCATCATCATCACTGTCATTATTCGCACACACATTTTTATTAGAATTCTTGCAAGGCAGTGGTACTCTACTGTAGTTGCTCTAATTATTATTTTTCTGCACCTAATCAGCTCCAACCAATTAACACAGACTCGCTTCATTCAAACTTTTGTAGATAATTTTATCTGTCGGTGTGCTAACCATCATGATGTCATTATAATGTTTGCATACTGAATTGCAGTTGATATTTCCTTTCTTACACATATTAACCATCGCATTTGCCACATTTACACTGTAAACACATTTACACTTTTTTTTACAATAGCTTTGTAACTTTTACAGTTAGAGTTTGGTGTTAGCATCCTATTGTGAAAAAGTATTGATTATACACTTCTAGTGTACTTAAAAATGTAAAAGTATATTTAAAAAAAACTGTACTTGCAGATAATATGATATTAATGAAGTAAAGGCCACTTAAATGTACTTAAAGAGACAACATTTCTTATGACTATGTTTCTTAACACACTTAAGTACCCTTTTAAATAGTGCACTTTGTAATAATGATGAGTTAAATGTTTTACTTCAAAGTATGTTTTAAATAATTATGTTTTGATAATCTTTTGCCGTGTTTTAAAGATGTACACATAGTAAAGCACATGTAAAGTACTTGATTATCATTTTAATTATAGTGTAATATATTTGATATTACATTTAAAGTTAATATATTTTAAATGTACTAAATTGCAACTTCATATAAATGCGTAATTACAATTCAGCTAATTTCAACCTAGGGGAAGTCATGGCCTAATGGTTAGAGAGTCGGACTTGTAACCTAAAGGTTACGCAGGGATTGTAGGTGGGGTGAGTGAATGTACAGCGCTCTCTTCCACCTTCAAAACCACGACTGAGGTGCCCTTGAGCAAGGCACCGAACCCCCAACTGCTCCCCGGGTGCCGCAGCAAAAAATGGCTGCCCACTGCTCCGGGTGTGTGTTCACGGTGTGTGTGTGTTCACTGCTGTGTGTGTGTGTGCACTTTGGATGGGATAAATGCAGAGCACTAATTCCAAGTACAGGTCACCATACTTGGCCACATGTCACGTCACTTTCACTTAATAAGAATTTAAGTAAGCTATGATATGTTTTAATTTAATTGTAAATAGCATTTAAAGTTAATATATTTTAAATGTACTAAATTGCAACTTCATATAAATGCGTAATTACAATTCAGCTAATTTCAACCTAGGGGAATGCAGTTAAGTGTCCGAAAAACATTACATTCAGTTTGCACTTAAGTATATTCTTTTAACGTATATTATTTCTGTAATAAGTACTCTACTAATAAGTACTTCTGTACAAAGTGTGCTAAAGTGTACTTTTTATTTTCACAAGGGTCAGCTTTTACAGGAGGATATATGCATTTTCATTATATTCGTCTTGCCAAAAGTGTGTTTGTCTTTATTTGTGTGTGTAGCTTGAACTGGGTCCGCACATATGAGGTGCAGTTCAGTAATGACTCATCGGTCTGGCAGCCCTGCATGAATGGATCAGAGGAGGCTGTAAGTTTATGTTTTATAAGTAACGGTAACCCACTTTTGTCAGCTCTGCACCATGGAGCTTCCCTGAGGATAAAACATGACTTAGGAGTTTATAAAAGTAGAGAAGCGTATAAATCTTTAAAGCCTATAATTTGTAAAGTAAAGTTTGTGTCTTACAATTTTTCTGTTCTATTTGTCTACTTTATTGTCTCTCCTAATTTGAGAATCTCTATGCAGGTGTTTGTCGGGAATGAAGATTTGGAGACGCCGGTTCTGGCTCTGTTTCCTGAGCCCTCAGTGGCACAATACATTCGCATTAATCCACAGACCTGGTTTAGCAATGGCACCATTTGCCTCCGCGCTGAAGTGCTGGGCTGCCCAGTGCCAGGTTCAACATGTCACTACTGTACTTTGAAATATTTGGGTCAAGACCATGGCATTTGGAGACTTTTTTTTTTGCCATTTTCTAATTTGAAACAGCATTTTGAATATGAATGCTTTAGGCTATTTTCATGCATACACTACTAGGTCAATAAGATTTTTTTATGTTTTTGAAAGAAATCTCTTATGCTCACCATAATTTAAGGCTGTATTTATGGGATTAAAAAAGTTATATTGTGAAATATTTTTACAATTTAAATGAACAGTTTTATATTTTGATGTATTTTAAAATGTAATTTATTCCTGTGATGCAAAGCTGAATTGTCAGCATCATTAATCCAGTCTTCAGTGTCACATGATCCTTCAGAAATCATTCTAATATGTTGATTTGCTGTTCAAGACTATTTTTAATTTTTGTTAATTATTATTAACAATGTTGAAAACATTTATTTGAAATAGAAATCTTTTGTGACATTATAAATGTCTTTACTGTCACTTTTAATCAATTTAATGCGTCCTTGCTGAATAAAAGTATTCATTTCTTTCCAAAAACAATCTTATTGACCGTAAACTTTAACGGTAGTGTATTTTTTCTCTTTTTTTATTTACAAGACCTTAGAATTATCTAATTATCTACAAGTCAGCCAAAAACCTCAACAAGTCAGTCAACCTCCACTGTAGATTTTAAAAACATAGAGACAGTTATATTGTCAATTTTCATGTTTTAAATGATTGAATAGTCAATCTGTTAAAAGTGCAGTTTGACCAAACTTGTCTATATGTTTAGATCCTGACAACCCACATTTTTCTGAGACTGAGAGCGGATCCTCAGATGATCTCGACTTCAGACACCATAATTACAATGAGATGAGGAAGGTTGGAGTGATTTTAGACCTTCACATTCATCCTGTTTATTAATGTAAGTGAACTGACACACACCACTCTCCCTCTAGTTAATGAAGTCTGTGAATGACGAGTGTCCAAATATCACACGGATCTACACTATTGGGAAGAGCTACACTGGACTGAAGCTTTATGTTATGGAAATATCCGATAACCCCGGAAAACACGAGCTTGGTAAGTTTTCTTGGAGCCTAACAGTTATTCAGGTCCCTTAATCTAATAGATCACACACATAATCTGATGTTCCAATGATGTTTTTTCCAGAGAATTCATTTTTCATGTCTTATTTTCCCTTTAACACAGATAGTAGATGTTTTCATTTTTGCACATTAATCATATCTTTATGTAACTTATTGTTGTCACACATCTGTTTTTCATCACTGATTTGGCCAGAATAAACATTCCACCACTGAGCAGAGTCTGTTGGGGTCTCACCAAAAGCATAATGTAGCAGTTTGACTGCTCTGATCTCTCTGTGAGGGTAGAAAATGTTCCAATCAAAATTTTTCATGATACTATCGATAAACATTCTAGTCCAACCTGACTTTTTTCTGACTGCTGTTTAACTCAGAAATACATCACACACTCAAATAGATTTTTAGCTCTAAGTAAGTTTTAGTATACATAAGTTTTATGTATTTAAATTATATATACAATTTCCATAAATTTGGATTACAGTTTTAACATACACAAACTAATAAACCTATAATGTGATGCATATTTGTTGGTTATACATAAATGAAACAGGTAAAATTGCTGCCCTCAAAAAATCATAGCATACTTTATTATATTAACTATTTACATCTTTTTAATTTTATTTTTTAAAAAGTCATATTTTCATAATGCATTTATTCAAATAGCTTAGAAACAGCATAAGTCTGGTCATTGTGAAAACAATTATGTTTAGTCAGTTAAGTATGAGCATGGTTAAAATCTGGATAGATGTGGAACAAGCAATATGTAAATAGTTAAAATGTATGAGATTGAAACCAATTGGATTTATTGTTGAAAAATATATAATTATTATTGTGTATTAAAAACACATTCAGTTAATTAGTACTATTACAGAAATCTTACCCGTTTCATTCATGTATGACTGATAAATATGCATCACATTAAGGTTATTGGTTTCTGTTAAAGCTATGTCATCTAAATGGATAAAAAAATGTATGTGCAATTCAAATTTAGGCCTAAAAATGTATTTGAGTGCATAATGAAAATAAAATTGTCGTGAATGCATGATTTTAAATGAACACTGTTTGCATATAGGTGAGCCGGAGTTTCGCTATGTTGCTGGGATGCATGGGAATGAAGTTTTAGGCCGGGAGCTTTTGCTAAATCTTATGCAGTACATCTGTCGTGAATACAACCGAGGCAATCAGCGTGTCATACAGCTGGTGAAGGACACACGCATCCACCTGTTGCCATCTATGAACCCAGACGGATATGAAGCAGCCTATGAGAAGGTAAAACACTGATGTAAGAAAAACATTGACTTGAATGTAGAAGTTATAGGTGGTAGTATGAATAATATTGTGGAAGTTTTTATTAATATTGCAGATAATTAAGATTATACATTCTATTTACAATCCCAGAGAACTAAACTATAGTGTGATCACTGTCTTATACTCCAGTATTTGCGTTTGTGCATCTGTTTGTTTCAACAGGGTTCAGAACTCTCTGGCTGGGCTCTGGGACGCTACAGTTTTGAAGGCATTGACATGAACCATAACTTCCCTGACCTCAACAACATCATGTGGGATGCTCAGGAGATGGCCATGGACAAGAGGAGAGTGAGCAACCATTACATTCCCATGCCAGAGTACTACACCTCAACCGAAGCATTAGTACGTAAGAACTGTCATCCATGCGTGGCTATGGAAGCTTTTTTTCACTTTAAAAAATTTTGACTTTTTATCTCACAATTCTGAGAAAAAAGTCCAAATTGCAAGATATAAACTCACAATTTGCGAGAAAAAATAATTATTTTTTTATCCCGTGGCAGAAACAAGCTTCCATACTTGGCACTTTCTTATAATACAGTATGTGTACTTATAAAACACTTTGGGTGGTCTCATTATTTTTCAAAAAGAGCTTATATTGTTTGTCAGAAGGGTCAAAATTGTTAATTTTTTAGATAAGCAAAGGAATATTGTTTGACTATGAAAACAGCAGAGCTTCGAGTTCTTTCAGAGGTTTCTATGTTGCCTCATACTGTTTGTTTTATTTGGACGAACAGTGAAAGTCAGACTTAAGGGTCGCATTCATTAAACTTTTCAATAGTCTGTTAGTCTTTGCTGTACAGATAAGGACACATTGTGCACAGGGGAATCAGGGTCAAGTAGATCTGAAGAATGTGAGCACTTCCTGTCAGCTGAAGCTCCCTGTGCCGGGGCCTCAGACAGAAAAACACACAGCAGTGAAAGAGCAGAAAACAGATTAGAAATGAAATTCACACTTCATCCAGAAAGATGATAGAAGCAAACTCAAATATGAAGAAACGTAATAATAGAACATAAACGTAGAATTATTTTCTGTGGATTATGAGATTATTATAGGCAATGTTTCACTTTTGTGCTTGGGGGAGGGGCCACAGGAGCCAGACTGACATTGGTTTAGGGTCTAGTCTAGTCTAGGATCTTGGTCTGGGTCTAGTTTCAAATTCTGAGATAGCAGTTGTGTTTGTATAGTTTTCTAAAAGATTTAGTTGTTTTTGTATAGTATACAGAGTTGTTTTGCATAGTTTTCTTTAACATTAATTTGTTAGTTTTAGTTATTTATTTTTTTTCGCAATTCTAAATTTATATCTGACAGTTCTGACTTTTTTTCTGCAATTCTGAGAGAAAAGCTGAATTGCAAGATATAAACTTTTTTTTTAAAAGAGTGTAAACAGAATTCAGAATTTTTATGGTTTTAGTTTACTATATATATATATATATATATCATTTTTTATTTATTTATTTTTTCATTTAGTTTTAGTTATTGTAGCACATTTGGAAAGCTAAACAACTGGTACCTAGCTTACGTAAAATACGTTTTTAAATGTTTTATTTCATTTAAACATTTATTTAAAGTAACGAAAATGTTTTTTTTTTGTTTGTTTATAATTTTAGTTTTAGTTAACTATAATAACCCTGATATTAAATATATATACAGTATGTATATATATATATATATAAATATAAATATATATATATATATATATATATACAG